AGCAGGAATCTGGTTACATGAGAGCCGTAAATAAACATTCTGCCCCACATCCCACCTCAAGATCAGGTCTACAGGTTTCTGTCAGAGAGAGAGGACCTTTTAACAGGCCAGGGCCTAGACTAGCTCATCCATGTGCTGCCCTGCTGAGGAGAGTGGGATGCAGCAGGGGAAGGCACTAGATGGGATCCACACAGCCCTGTACCTTTCTGTCCCTAGGCTGCCAAAAAATACGATCTCTGAGGTTCAGGAGCTATCTTTTCCCCACCAAAAAGTCCTTGATTCTTAACTAGAATTTGGCAATAATCCTAAATACCTGTGGTGTCAAAGAGCTGTCATGTTATTGGGCGGCGGGGGTCGGAGGGGGGAAATCTAGAAATGCCCTGCTCTGGAGTGTATTTATACTTGGGCAGTGACAGTACAGACAAAACCTCATGTTCTCTGCCACAAGGAACAAGGTGAGTGGGGAATGGCACTCAGCTGAGCTGAAGAGGCAGGTCTGATAACACAACAGGGTGAAAAGTGTGGAAGAACTGTAGTTAGCACCACGTAGGAGAGGATGCAGAGATTATCAAGTCAACCTAGCACTGAAGGATCATGTCAAGCTCTTTTTCGCTGGCCATCTTGGAAAGGAGGGACACACATCCTACCTCTTCAGGGGCCTGCAGGGATTGTACATGGGAGGGGAGTAGTCAGGCGCAATGCCACGCTGTACAAGGTCGCAGAATATCTTACACAGTTAGGAGCCTCTTCCCTGGTAAGAAGTGGGGCCTGTATGTACAAGTGTTAGCTGCTGCTCAAGGAGCCTGGGAGGCAGCCGTTTTCTCTGCAAGGGGTCCAGTAGTGCACCTCTCTCGAGGAGCACTTGTCTAGCATTAGAGCCAGAAAAGTGACCAAAAGCAAAAAAAAAGAAAAAAAGGACCCTGGCTGCCTCCCTCGCTACGTGGCCCCTCACAACAGCAGCAGGTAAAGTTTATACTGACTCTATTCTCCTCTTTCCTGCTTCGGTTCCCCACTCCCCCTCCAGCACTGGCGGAGGGAGGTGGGGAGCAGGCAGCCCTGGCTAGCGCTGAGAGCATCACTGCTCAGAGAGGCTGAACCCCAGCGACCGCCTCCACAAGTGCAAGAGCATATTCTGGTATTTCCCACAGAGAAAACAAACAAAAAGAAACAAGTGACTGATTAAAAGAGTTTCCCCCCGCCTGTACACGAGATTCTGCAGTCACGCCGACAGATAGACATTAAATAATTCTTCCATAATAAATGATTGGAGATAAAAGCCGGCGGCGACTGCTGCTGCTGCTGTTTGGATTGCTCCGTTGTCTGCATCTTTGTTTCTAGTTTGTTCCCCGGCCACTGATGGCTGGTGCTGGGGCCGTCAGACCTTTGCCTCTAGCATTTCTAGGAAGAGTTTATGCATGGGAACCTTGCCCTGCAGTTTGATGCTGTAGAAATGCTGCACAGCCTTGGCGGCTGTCTGCCGCAGGAGAGGCAAGGTCAGGAGCAGCTTGCCTGCTCGCCGGGGCTCCTCGTTGCGCTGACTCAGCTCGTAGTCCTGCAGGGCTTCGTGCAGGAGGTCCTGGAGTTTCTGCACCGCATCCATGTCCTCTATGTGCATGGAGTCTGGTGGGGAGGAAGAAGAAAGAGCAAACAGCCAGATCAGGCATGGGGAGAAAATACTTTAGGGACCAGAAACTAAAGATGATTTTCTGTCTGTCACTGACACCTTGCTGGGGCAGAATATCAGGTGCTGGCAGGTGCCAGTGCTGCTGCTGTGAAACTCTCCATCAATTCTGCAGGTTGTCACAGGGAAGTAAGGTCCCCAGGTAAGTGAAATGTTGTGCCCTGTATGCCTGCTTGGCTGGAAACCCCAAGACTATGCGGGGCTTGGGAAGGCGGTTGTGACTCGGGGCCTTTGTGTCTTGAACATTCAGTTGCCCTCCATGCTCCTGCCGGGGGGAGTCACCCTGCGAGGGGCAGCAGCTGCTGTGCTGCCACTTGGGAGCAATCTCATTAAGAATAATTAACACTGCTATCGTGCTTCATCTGTCTAAACTACCTAATTGCTGTGCAGCTGCTCAGGGTGTCAGCAAGACAGAAAAGCCCCAGTAGGTCACAACCAGGGTGCCCAGGGGTGTTGCCAGCCCCACCTTTGTGCATATGCCCCTGTTTTCAGACAGCACCAGCAGCTGCTCAGGGAGCAGCATCCTCCTGTTTCTGTTCTTCACAGAAACCTGCACCTCCTGCAGCTACCCCTGCAAGGCCTCATGCCTTAGGCTGCCAGTTAGATTTCTACAAGCTGCCGGAGGGGCGAACAGGGTCTGTGAGGTGAACATAGATTCCTGGTGTTGCTCTGAGACAAAGGTAGCTCATAGGGACCCAGTCTGGGGCTACGCTGGGGTACCCGAGAAGAACATTGTCTGCCAAACTCCTAGGGAAGCTGTGGTGCTAAAGACTGACACTACAGAGCAGAGAGGTTAGAGCAAACCAAGAGACCTAGCCGAGCACACTGGCACTGGAGTGCTCGCTTTCTCTCTGCTTTCTTTCCCTCTTCTGCACGTGCCCTCACTCTCATTTTGCTGATTCCTGCTCCTTTCCTACAATCCCAAAAGACCCAAAGACACTGTTACATTTTCCTCATTGTTCAGAGGCTTTTAATAAATATTGAGCCCACTGACAGAGCTTCCTGCCACAGGGCAGTGAATCCAGAAGCAGCAGCAAACGGACACTGGATTAACTGTGCAAACACGCATGGAGCTGTGCCCGTCTGGCACCGCACCGGGCTCTGCAGTGCCACAGTGGCCTGGCTCAGCCCACACGTGTCCAGCACAAGTCAGGGGAGATGGGCTGTGGAGTCTGACAGCAGGGACAGGGAGGGACACTGGCCTAAGTGCCCAAATTTCTCTAGATAAATTTGTCATTTCTATGGAGAGCTCAAGACAAATTAGATGCTGTGAATTTCGTAAGATGCATGTACAGTAAATGCTATTTATGATGCATGATTTATAAAGGATTACCACAGTCTGGAAAATATTATGCCTAGCATGAAAGCTGTTTAAGTTAGGAGGCATGCACTAATTATGGAATATTAAAGGGTTGTATTTCCAGGAAGCCTACTGGGTAAGGATGCTTTTGTTTTTTTGTAACCCAGGCACTATGAAAAGAAACTTAGAGGAAGGTTGGCAGGTCATCCTCGTGACAGAGCTAGCCTCACAGGTTGATTCAGAGCAGAGGGAAAAGCGAAGCATGATCCCAAATGAGCCTGACAACTTCCCCCAGCCAGGCAGCACCTCTGCAGAATTCACATGCACCATCCAGGAGTGGTGAGTGGGATACGTTTCCTGCCAAGTTGCAGAGGTCATTTTGGAGACTGGAAACATCAAGAGCTGCAGCTTGGAGAGAAATGTTCTCCAGTCTTCCTGCTTAATGCCTGTCCAGGCAGGACACATGAGGGAGAAGTAGACACAGCCCATTAGTATGATGAGACCTCAGCAGCTGCTGGCAGCATCAGGAAGCCTGCCAGGCTCCACAGGGACTGGGGTGCTCTGCTCTGGGTACCGATGCTGCTGCACAGCAGATGAGGGCTAAAGCAGTGCCCCTCATGTTACCCGACTTCTGGAACATGGAGAGCTCCACTAAAAAAGCAGACATGCAGGAGGAGGAGAAGTGGGAAATAAAGAGCAAGGCCTGCTCTGCCACCCCCACTCTGTGCTGAAAGGAGCTCAAAATTGGCAGCTGACTGCAAAAAAATAAAATAACGTTGCAGGATTAATTTCCTTACAATCCATCAGTGAGCTGGTGTCGATGGCATTGATAAACTGTTAATTACAAAATCAATAGCTATGAATTTTTACAGCTGTCAGAGCACTGAGGTGGAGGGAGGCTTCCTGGCCACATCCCTGAGGGTTCAGTGGCCTAGAAGTCAGCCTTCACATCAGGAGCCCTTTTCCAGCATTAGGGTGAAGACCAGCAGTGAGAATGGACAGGATCTGCTGCCTCCTCACCTAACCCTTCCCTAGCACTTTCTGGAAGGAGCAGGGAACTAACGGGGCCCATTAGTACAGAATTTGCCACACATTCCCTGGCCTGATATAGAGCTTGTTCACTCCATCTCAGTATAAAATACATTGGCAAGAAAAGGGGAATAAGATTTGAGAAGTCTGAGGAGTCCTGAATACTAACCAGGAGGGCTCTTTAATACACAGGTTGATCAATTCGGTGTTCCTGAGGGAAGAGGACCTAAGATTTTCCAAAAAGGCTCCGAAGGATGAAAGGTTGTGGCATCCCTCCTCTGGCAAAAAAAAAAATGGATGTTCACATTGTCAGGTCTTGTCTGCTGCTCTAGGCATTGAAAATTAATTTCTCAGCTCCCTAAAATGCTCTTGGTAAAGAAAGACTTTGCTTGGATTCTCAGCAGGTGTGTCCTTGATGCATTACAATGACAACCTAGAGATCAACCACAGCTCTGGCAAGGTGGCATCTTCTCAGCAGCTCTTGGCCTAATGTCAGCAACTTACCTAGTGAGGAGTTAATGCTGCTTCTGATTTCATTTGTTTTATTCCTTTTAATTCCTAGAAACAAAGGATCAATATATACAGAACTACATGGAAGAGAGAAAAGTTCTTTGAAGCTGGATTGCATAAGCAATCACATCCAGCAAGGATATGAGAAATTCAGGAATGTATCCATATGTGAGGCAAGAGGTAGAAAGCAGCTCTGCGCAACGCAGGTGTTAATCTAAGCACTCAGCTTTAAACCATGCCTTTGACTCAAGGGAGTTGAGATGTCACCCACGGATAGTCTGTGTTCCTACAGTTTCAGGAATCAGCTGTTTGCATGCAAGCACATATATGCATGCTCTGCAAGTTTAGTCTATGTCATAAGTTCTTTAAGGAAAGTAACTTACACTGAAAGAATGTGAAGGTTAAACTAGGAAAATAACAGCTCACCCTGTGTCGCTTCCTTCTGTGCATGTATTCTGAGAGGCTTTAATTACATGAAAAATGAGATCTCTTGTTTTACTATCATATGTTTGAAAAAAATGACCACACAGATGGATTTTTTTTGTGGATTATGCTCCCAGCTGCACTAGAACAACCAGTGAAGGCAAAGTGGCTGTTCCCAGCCACCTGAGCACATGCTTTGGCCTGTGACTTCTCACTCTTACCTTGGTTTCTTTACAGAGCTGCCAGCAGATCCCTAAAGCTGCTGCTGAGTGTTGGTTGTTTTGCTCTTTCATTGCTCAGTGTTTCTCCACTTGTGATACAGACTGTTCCCATATGGCTTGCCCTGGGCTGAGCCCTGACAGCACAGCGAGCAGCGTCAGCAGAGAGTGTCTCTGCTGCACTGCAAGGACCTGACAGCACTGAGCACCTCCACTCAGAGCACGGGCCAGATAAACGTCCTTGTGTGTGGCACCTCGCCTGTCACAACCTGTCCCCTTAGCACTTCAGCCTCTCTGAGGAGCCCTTCTCCTTGCTTCATCCTGTGACCTTCCTGGTAGACAGAAGGCAGGTTCTTTAACAAGAGTTGATTACATAGCCAAAAGCCACCATCCCGTAATCGAGAGAAAGGCCAGCCTTGGCTATCTGCCCATCCTGGTTCAGTGGCAAAGTGAGGGCAGCAATTAGAACTAAAAAAGCAATATATGAGAAATTGAAAAAGGGAACAAGATAGCAATTTATATGAATCAGAAGTTATGAAGTGTAGAAAATCGATAAGGGAAGCAAAGGACACCAGAAGAAAATCCATGGCTGGAAAGGGTAAGGACAATAAAGAAGAGTTTTATAAATATTTAGGAAGTAGAAGAAAAATGTTGGGGATGTTCTTTTTGGATCGAGATGATTGTTATGTGGAGGAGACAGAAGTCCTCAAATGAGTATTTCTGTCTTGTGTGTAGAGAAAAGGAGTGTGATGTACCTCTGTTGTATGAAGCTGATGAAGACTTCTTAGTTTGTTGTTGATGCAAGAAGATGTTAAACATGGTAGGGATAAACTTCACAGAAATCAGCAGACCTTGATAGCTTGGCTTTGAAAGTTCTGTAATGGCCAAGGACAAATTCATGTTTTAACAACTCTAGGTATTTTTGAGAGTGGAAGACTGGAAAATAGCTGATGCATAAAGTTTCCTAGGTCCTGATGTGATCCAGGAAAAAGTCAAGGAAAAAGAAATGTAATGTTCAATTAAGACCTAAAAAATGGTTTTACAACTGATGCCAGTCAACACAATACTCTAGACTAGGGGTCTTGTCAGACAAACCTGACTGCATTCTCTGATAAGATTACAAGTTTGGTTGATAAAGTTAACTGCATAGATATAATGGACTTAGGCTTTTATAAGGCACTTGGCTTAGCACCACAGGACATTCTCATTAAAAAATTAGCACTATGCAGTATCAATAAAGCACACTTTCAATTGATTAGTAACTGGCTAGATGACAAATCTCAAAGTAACTATCAGTGGTGAATCATCCCTGAAGGAGGAGTTTTCTAGTGGAAATCCACAGGGATCAGTAAAAAACAGATGCTACTCAACATTTTTATGAATGATATGTACATAATTTTTCTTTTCTTTTTCTTTTAATTGCTGCTCTCATGAGTATGGATGACAAAAACAGAATGGAGTAAAATGAGTATAGGGCAACCTTGCATAGCATTCATTGCCCATTTGGCTACATGTTAAGTAATGTATAGCCAAGGAATGCAGCTATGGAGCAGGAACTGTGTTTTTGTGCCAGTCTATCATGTATGAAAGGAAATGGGGGTCACAGGACACAGCCTGGCAGAGACCTTCAGAATCTTGAGGCTGAACTCAGGCAAACTGACACTAGAGATATGGATTTTTTTTTTTTAACTGAGGCAACAACTAATTAGAATCAGCCACAATGAAGGACGCAGATTCCCCATCTTTTAATATCTGCGGCTTCACCTGGGGTGTGTGTCTTTGTGGAAGACAGCTTTAGCCAAACAGAGATCAGACTCACTGCTGGACCATAAGGGTGAGTTTTGTAGCCTGCACTGTGCAGGTTGGCCAGGAGGTCTGATTTACAGATATCTCCAAGGGATGTAGAGGGAGCCCTTGTCACATAGTAGCTTCAGCAGTTTCCCTTTTGGAAGAGACTCCTAAGCAAGCATGTGTCTGGCTGCTGTGCAGCACACAGCACCTCCTGTTTCTCCCACAGGATACCGGGCTGCTGGCCCCTGGGCTGGGACCTTCCTCCAAACTGAGGCAGCAGGCACTGGACTGAGCGCCCTAACCTACCTGATCCTCTTCATGGGAAGGAACAGAACAGGGCAAGTTGCTGCCACCACATCTTATCTGCTACCCACCCAGATCACTCTCAGGCTCCCAGTTCTTCTTGTGGACTTCAGTGTTTGTGGTCTCTGAACATCTCCAGGCCTGGACCAGTAAGTCCCAACTCCACAGATCTTGTGGGTTTTGAAACTGGGACCCGGCTTCCCTATTCAATCTGACAGACCAACAGCACTCTGGATGCAGACTTGGCTCACATCCCCTTCTCTCGTGCGTAGCTGGAGGCTGGAAGCTGCTCACCAGCAGAGAACTCCACTGCCTTTGCTTCAGTGCCAGAGGCCAGCAGCCTGCCCATCTGCACCTGGGCCTACACCCTCTTACAGGGCCAGTTTGCTGTTGGGACTCTAGAGGCACCAAGTTTAATTTCTCCTTCCTGTCCAGCCTGGTTCTTGCTCTATGGACTTAGAGAAGCTTTGGAGATGCTGCATGACATGGCATCATCTCAGGCAATGTGCTGTAGGTTTCTCCCAGGCCAGGTGACACTGTGGGCTAACTCCCTGATCCCAAGGCTGATGGGGCCAAGGCTGTACCTGAGTTGGCAAGGGCCAGGGCCTTGAGGGTGACAAACTCCTCCTTTTCCACCTTGAGCTTCTTGTAGCGGCGCACCAGTTGCAGGATGGCCAGGTAGAGCTCCAGCAGCCCTGTCAGACGAGAGTGTTCTTCATCCATAATGTAGTCCTCAGCATAGACCAGCTTGTCCTCATAGGGCAGGGAGCGGTACACAATGCCCAAGATGAGGATTTCCATCCAGGCACTCTGCAGGAGGCTCATCTGGTCTCCAAGGGAGAGATTGGAGAACCCTGATATGGCAAAAACAAGCAGGTCAGAAGGGTGTGCAGCAAAGCCTCAAGAAGCCCTTGGGCTTTATTTTACCCTGGGATTCAGCCCAAGCACTCTTCCCTTTGGTGTGCTGCTCTGGAAAAACTTACTAAAGTGGCCCCTATCTCTGTGGCAGTCAGCACGTGGAATTTGCTCTCTTCCTTGCTTCCATGTCCACCTGAAGCCCAAACACAAGTCCTGATGCTCTGACTTTAAGTTTCTAAGACCCTCAAGGTTAGTGACACCCTGTTTTCCTAATTCATGCTTCTCTTACAGCAACAAACTGCTTTGTACCACATCTTCTGGCCCCTTGGTCCTCCCTTAGTCCTGTAGTCCAGCAGTACTGCCCTAGTTGTACTTTCCCTTCCCAGTGAACCAAAGAGCATAAAAGAGCTCCAGATGGCAGGGGAAAAAAAAAAAAAAAAAAGCTTCCGGTGGGATAAGGGAAAAATGACACTGGCTTGAACTTCAAGTGTACCTCCTGTTGGCCAAAAAGAGAAAAGGTCCTTTCACAAAGAGCACTGAACGGTCAGAAACACAGTCCTCTTCTATTCGTCATCACTTCCTGAGCTCAGCACCATCAGCTTTCTGTATCTCACAGCCAACAACCCTACACAGTGTCAAAAACACCACATGGTGTTATACAAGTGCCTGAACCACAGCCAGATACACTACCAGCAGAACCAGCATCCAGCAATAAGCTTGGGTCATATTCCTAATCACAGAAAAAATCTGCAACCACAGATAGACACTGGCAGCCCCAGAGCCCTGATAACACTGAGGAGAAAGGAGTGAGGCTGCAACTTGGAGGCACAGTCTAACCTGAGGGAAAAATAATGCACAGGAAGGACAGGTCCTTCATGTCCTTAGTCATGTCCTTAGGAGCAGGGATCCTAGAAGAACAGCCCACGGAGGAGCCTGGGAGCAAGGCCACTGTTGAGCAGGCCTCGCAGACAGGGCTAAGCACTGTGTGTTGCCCTGTCTCGGCAGCCCTGTGAAGCACTGAAAGCAGCGGCTGCGATTGCTCTTTGGCAGCTCCATGTGTCTAGGCTTTCCCATGGCTGTGTGAGAATGGGACGGGCAGGCAGCTCTCAGCTGGGGCACCCTTCTCTCCAGGGCTTGCTGAGCCTTGGGGTTTAGGGGCCTGTGCGAGCTCCTGAGCCTCTGCCCAGGGGCCTGCCAACCCTGCTGGCCATGTCCTGAGCTTGGCCGGACACCTTTATCCTACAGCCTCCCTGCCCACAACTCCGGGCCCTGAGTGGGGACCTAGGTAGCCAGCCACCATGGCGATCCTTTGATTCCTCTTGTTATCAAGGTGGCAATTAACAAAAGAGCTGATGATTGCGATATTGACTGACTGTGGGTTCTCTTTTTCTATCTGCACTATCTCAGCTGGGGAAAGGAAGGCAGAAGGGTGGGTTAGTGGTGTTTATTTATCACTGCGCCATGTTTTGTGTTTGTGTTGCCAGGGGAAGCAAAGGGTGATAATGGCCTGGTAGCTCTTGGACATCCAATTTCCCTTATCAGACCACTGAATAGAAAAGAGGCCCCAGGCCACATTAATTAACAGATACCAATCAGCTGTCACGTGTTGTGTGTGCAAGGTCTGAGGGGAGCAGTGGGCGGGAGGGAAGAATCGATAAACCATTGGTGAGGGGTGCCAGAGGGAACAGCTAAAGAGGAGTCCACGCTCCTGGGGAGAAGAGCTGCAAATCCAGCTGCAGCTCCACGAACGCGTGACTGTGAGCAGCACAGCCTGCGCCTCGCACAGGCCGCTGCTGGTGGATCCCATCCCAGCTGAGGCCGCGAGCAGCGCGGGGATGTCTCCCTCGCTCTTTGCCTCGGCTCTTCTGCCTTTCCCTCTTGCAGTCAGTACTTGGATTGCTCCTGAATGGAGCTGTCCTTGGCAAATCCAAGCACAGGCCGATGCAACCCCAGGGTTCAGGATCCTCTCTCCCTAAGTCTCTCCCTTGCTGCCCAGGAAACCGGTGGGATTAGCCAAGAGGGAAAGTTAGCGGAAAATACACAACTGCTGTCTCAACTTCTGGCACCTGGAATCTCCTCCGATGCCAACCAAAAGCAGCCCTTTGGTCACCTCCCTCCTAGCTCTTAGCTCTTCAGACCTTATCCTGAAAGGTGCTAAATACTCTACCACCATCCAAAGGCTCCCAAAAACATACCATGGAGCAGCACACAGCTGCATGCATGTTTCTCTCCTCCTCCAGTGCAGGTCGAGGAAAGGTGCTTTATTTACAATAGCTAGTATGACACTCAGATTTTATTTTTTGTGATTTTTTTTTATTTCAATGGTTTGGCAGTGGGAGCTCCCAGAATTAAAAAAAAAAAAAAAGCCACATAATTTGTGGCAAGTGGAGTTCATAATCTGTTAATTTATTATCATTTCTGTCATCCTGGAGGGCCATTAGCAGAGGTAATAAAGGGAGATGTAATTATAGGATCTGAGGCCACTCCAGACACAGCTGCTGTCACTCCACTTGCCATATTTCATTCTGTGCTAGTACTATCGTCTTCCTAGTGAAAAAAAAAAAAGCCACATAATTTGTGGCAAGTGGAGTTCATAATCTGTTAATTTATTATCATTTCTGTCATCCTGGAGGGCCATTAGCAGAGGTAATAAAGGGAGATGTAATTATAGGATCTGAGGCCACTCCAGACACAGCTGCTGTCACTCCACTTGCCATATTTCATTCTGTGCTAGTACTATCGTCTTCCTAGTGAGAACAGCACAACAGCTACCCTGGGAGAGCCTTCGTCATCACCCCTCGAGAGAAGTCTTGTCTCCCTGCATCAAGGCATACTGAAAAGGTAGATGTTGTTCAAAGGCAATTAGTACAGAGCGTGAGTGACTGGTGGTGAGGGGGCTTCATACAGAAAGGTACAACTCCATGCATCTGAAGCACCTACTGAGCTCTAACATGTGCTGAACATCATTAAATTGTGCTTTCTTGTTATCATAGGAGAGTGGCTTTAAGCTTAACTGATTTTATTTGTTAACACTGTCAGGTAGAAGCTTGTATCGACATCTGGGATCGTGAAAAATTGCTGTCACTCCTATGTCACACTTCCTTACTAATTCCAGTGGGAACAGGAGGCGGGAATAGGTGACTTTTGTTCTTTTATCTATGCTCCACGTGTCTAAGAGTTGATCCACACAGGAAGAAAAGGGTCCTGTTTCACTCAAAGTCTTTGAGACAAAGAAATATGGGACATGCAGAATCTGACACCGGACTCCTGGCCCTGCCCTGCTCTGCCCCCTTGCTGCCTACTGCAGTATGTTTAGTACATGTTTCACAAGTACAGGTGCATTTTTGTGATCTGTCTTTCATTATGGTTGATTTTTGGTACCACTCCCTGGCATAACCATCCCTGAGCTCTCTCCTGCATACACAGGGCCATTATGATGCTGCTGCGGGTCAGGACTGGGCTATTCCTGTCTTGCAGGGGCTCTGATCGGAAAGGAAAATAGAGAAAAGTGAGATGATGGCAGATGATGGCAGTTCATGCCTTTTAGAAGGAGACAAAACCCCCTTTCCAGTGCAAAAGCCATCTTCCTGTTGCACATCTGTTCCGGGATAATCGCCACAGCAGGCTGGAAAACTGCAGGAGCTGAGAAATGAGCATCCCACGGGCAACCCGCAGTGAGGGACGTGCAGCAGGACACCCCGCGCCCACAGAAAGTGCCCAGGTTAGCCCAGGCACCAGCCCCACGCTGAGCAGCAGCTCCCTGCATTGCTTGAACACCAGCCCTGCGGGCGCCCCGAGCGCAGGGTTAGTGGAGCAATCCAGGCTAAGCTCCCTAATCGCCAGCGCAAGCCCCTTCGTGATGAATCAGCCCCACGAGGATTCCAGCAGTAGGAAGGGGGTAATCCCTGCAGATAGTGCAGATCTCACATAAGAAGGGCACCACTGTGATTAACCCCTACTCAGAAACCCTGTCCTCAGAAAGTTGCTCCAGACTTTACAGTCCCACAATGCTACAGGCTCCATTCTGTATAGCCAGGTAGCTACCACCTTTTGAATCCCTCTGGCAAAAGCAACCACCAGAAAGGCAAGAGAGAGGCTACAGAAAGAAGCTCAGTACAGGTGGGAACTAAACTGTCTGATCACTAATGCTAAAATACTTCACAAATGAAGGAACTTAAAGCCAAGCAACAAAGCAAGAGAACACAGACCCATTCAGTAGAACAGAGAACGTGCAATATGTTTAGACCCTGTGGCTAAGCACCAGAAGTGCTCTTGTATTCAACGATGGAGGGCAGAAGAAACCTCTGCTGAATTGCTTGTACGGAAATCTTCCAGGAAGCAGTTATGTAAACCCCAAGGACATTCCTTAAGCTCCCTGCCCAACCCACCCCACATTCAAGTTCAATCCCTGTTTTTTTTTGTTGGGAGGGGTGAGAGGGATTGATGGACACACAAGGCTGGGACAGAGGTAGCATTTCTCCTGCCTTGTCTGCATCTTTGTCCCCTGAATATCCTCAAGGGCCATGACTGCTCCACCAGTCTGGGTCCTACTACTGCAGCATCCTACCTGCACGTGCGAGATTGTTGCTGTCCTAGGCACCCTGATTGGGATAGTCAGTCAGCCCTCAGAGGCCAGTCACACTGCCAGCAACTTGTCCTCATTATTTTTCAGCACAGAAGCTTAGAGATTAGTTGGCAATAGTGGGTACATCCTGAAGTTCTCCTGAATCTAGGCAAGAATGCTACCACAGGCTGGGTGTCAGATAACCGGCCTTACCAGTAGCAGTAAAGTCTGGCCATTGCTGGGACATTTATTCACTTATGAACATAACAGACAGAGGGTTTGCAGATGCAGTGTCCACCCAAGAATTTTGTCTGTGCCACTCAATGCCTGGTACAACTAATTACCACAGCATCTCAAAGCCTGCCACCTAACCCCAGGGCACGCACGCTACAGTCATCAATTTATGCGCCTATAGCATGTGCTATATTGCAATTTGTTACCAGTGAGAGTTTACTACAAACATTCTTTGGTGACAATAATTTCAACCCTTCGCTATGTGTCAGATTCCTGGCAGAAGACAAACCAATAAGCATGGTGATAATAAATCAGCTCCATTTGTCATTCACATTTAGGCCTTGCGACTTCCCCTGTTTACCTGGGATGTGCTTTGCCCAGCCAATGATGACCACGAGCTCCCTGTCTGCCAGGTCACAGAGGGTTGTCAGGGCTTTGATGTCACTCTCCGGCATGGTTGGATCAGGCATGGCATAGATCTTCTCTGGCTCTGCCACCAGCAAATGCGAGACGATCTTAGTCACTGCACATTTCAAAGGAGAAGTTGTTGTTGTATCTCTCAGGACATGAGGTGTCATAACAGCCCTTTCTAGAAGGGTCCTCCTGGCAGAAGACATGGCTAGAGAGGTCATGGGACCTCAGAAATGGTTTTGTTCACAGAGGAGGAGACTGCAGTGCAGCTACACAAGCTGCAGCAATCCTCCTAGGCCAAATCGGGTCTGTACAGGCATGACAGAGCCAGGAAGCTACTGTAAGGTTGTCAACCACTAACTCACGCAGGTCCAATAACAACAGTAGGAGAAGGTGAGAAATGAATAATCAACTGGTGGCACTTGGAGAAGTTTAGAGACCTGTTGGTGATATGGAAGAGAGAAATCAGCGCAGGGCCAATTTGGCAAACATGGCTTAAGATGCAGGATAATATCAGAAAATAAATAAATAAATAAACACTGAATGATTTTACATGGTCTCTTAGGAAATCTCTGGCATTTAGCCTTAGGTACAAAAAAATGTAGTACCCACGCTGTACCTCAGATGTATTTCTTTTACCTACATACTGTGATCATAAGAAAAAGATCCTGGTGCTTGTGACTGATGCTGAACCAGAAGTGACAGTCACTCCAGCGTATGTTTGGGGAGACCAACAATGAAAAGGAGCTGAGTGGTTGCTCAGAGGCCCGTGGTTCCAGAGTGATACATACGTGGCTTTTTAGCCGGCGGAGGGATCTGTAAGCTCAGGTAAGTGCTACTCTCAGAATCCAGCCTCCTCTTGTATTTCTGACGGCCTCCACGGACTCTATCCAGACGAACCCCTGCAAGTAAAACAGAAGATAAATCCTCATGATTCCTTGCTGCCATGGAGAACCTTAACATTCAGGTGCTGACATTTGCTAAACAGTAAGTTCCCTGCACTGCACAGAGCTTTCCTCTCCCAAACACTTGAGGATCTCAGCTGATTCTACCAATCTCAGTAATGGCACGTAGACTCCCTCCAGCTCTAGCAATATTGCTGTGGGCATTAGCTTTCTTCAGAACATTAATGAAAACAAAAATTAACCCATTCAAACTCTTGTATCTGATGGGCAAATGAAAAGCTTCAGACCTTGATGCCCTGTAGATGATCTTGTTTTTAAAAAGAAAGACAAGAAATGTCAATCAAACCTGCAGTTATAAAAACTGTTCTTAAAAATGAGACTTAGACTGTTCTTAAAAATGAGAAGTTAAATGTTCTGTGACCTCTCATTGTCTGTATTTGAAAAATGCTACCTATAGCAAATGGATTATGAAATATGAATACAACAAAGATTTTTTTTAATCAAGTGAGGCACCTGTAATAAAACCAGAACTCAAATAAATAGAAACAACCTATGCAACAATGATAAAACTGAGTTAGGGAGACACTGAAGAATTTGTTGCAGCTTTTTCAAAATACAGTGTATCAAACTGCAAACAGCAGATCAAACAGTTCTCAGGGACTATCCCCATGTGAAAGGCCACAGCAGCATCAATAACCTATTGAACAGGAACAGCAGTAGAACTGTAGCAGTAGAACCAGTACAAGATACAATATTAAAAATGAGTTGTGAAAAAAAGCACTTAGATATTTGTCCAGTTGTCAGCTATTTCTAACCAGCCATATGGTCTCTGGTAATCAGTTCCTGGGAAACTGGGATAACTCAGTCCTCCTGGGAGAAACGGCCATTTCTACATGTAAAGTTACATGTAGTAATATTCAAATAAAAAAAAAGAATTTTTATATACAAGTACTTTCTTATAAACGTGCATGAGATCCTTGTCAGATCATAGGAGTCAACTATGTTATACAATTAGTAACCATGCTGAGCCATTAATATTTTGCAATCAATCTGCTGCATAAACACAAACAACTAGAAGCAAACTCTCCCAGCTAATTTTAGCAATGCTTTTTGAACGATCTGTACGTCTGAAAAATCTGCTGACCAATATTCTTCCCCAGAAAAAAAAAGCACCTCTGTGAGTTATCCTGCCCATCTCAGACTAATGCCACGTTTCCTACGGCACTTCGACACGTACCGTGTCCCTGCAAGGAGCAGTCTCTCTGCTGTGCTCATGTCGGCCCCCGGTTGCGCTACACGAAGCCGTTACATCACCCTCCTGCTCCTTTACATTGCAGGATCTCTGAGAAAAGTCGCCCTCTTTGTTGCTTCTTCTAGCTCCCCTTGCAGCAGGAGGGAGCCTGTGCGCAAGACTCTGTCCTGGCAACCCCAACACCTTTCAGAGAGATTCCAGAAAGAGCAGCCAGGAATCCCACACCGAAGGTTACCCAGGGATATTCCCTGAGGAACAGCATTAACAAAGTCCTGAAGTAGGTAGGAGAACTTGATTTCCACTCTGTGATTTCTTCCTCTCTATAGACAAGCATTGGCTTCACAGGAAAGCAGACCCCTATGCCTTGCTCTGCTGAACAAGTGACACGGACTCATAGCCAGGAACAGAGGGACACAAATTCCAGAACACCAAGCAACCAGGTATCAAAATGAAAAGGGTTAGGAATACGCCATCCAAAGGCTATAAAGGAAAGGTTTGCAGGATTTCAGTCCAAATTCACAGCTTCTTAGACCCCTCACAGAAGAAGGATCACAGGAAAATCCCTTCCCTCACACCAGTGGGTAGGACGTTATGGGGACAGGGGTGGCTCAGCCCAGGAGCCACCAGTGCAGAGCCCTCCCGAACGCATTCACACTGCTGTTTGAAGAGCAGCATGGAGCAGTATGGCTGAGAGGGGCAGGGAGGCGACGGGGGCAGGAGATCCTGCCCTGCTCCCAAGGAGAGAGGGACCGACAGGAA